TTGGTGGTGTGCTCTTGACATCTAATTAACTACTACGAGATTTTTTGTATTGTTATTCCGACTTTTTATATCGAACAAATTTATTGCATTATTTCCTATGAATAGACTTGTAAACCAGTCATATAAAGAAGTGATGGTTTAAGTGCAAGGCGCCAAACTTAAAACGAGAATTAATGCTATCATTTATAAAATTGTTTTCTTTTGAAATGTGTTTTCCGGCTTGATATTTATGGCTTAACGACTTCAGCGGAAACTGGTCAAATGGACCTCTAATAATTAACCCACTTTTTCAACTTTATGATAATTCAAGCTGTTACAGTAAGCACTTGCAAATGTGTTCAGTGCTTCGAGGAAAATTGCGGTCTTCTTATCAGAATCGATTGTGGTTTATTTTATGCACGCAACCACCATTCACCACCACCATTTTGAGACGGTATGAGCACACAACTTGAACAGAACAAGATTACTAATGGGAGTATGTGTCGAAATAAAACTTGTACAAAGCTCTTCTCGTATGATACACTGTTCGCTTCAATTTACGAAACAATGCTCTTTCAGAAAATCAATTAAGAATTCCCAGAACAAACCTATGAAAAATTACTAGTTTGTGAACCAATTAAGTGAAACCCCCAAGGTAGATCAATAAGCACGAAGTTTTATTCTCGAAAGCTCCACGAAATTTAAATGCGATACCAATTTTTTGTCTTCGGCCGGAAATTAAGCGCTTGCCACGGAGAACACCTACCGATTTTATTACACGCATAATCTCGACGTGTGAAATTCGAAATTTTTTTAATTAAAATTTCGGCCCGAACCTTTCGGAATTTATGAAATGCCTACAAGGATCCATTTAATAAAGTTAGAAGTAGGTATGACCGCATCGTTTTTGCCGCTAAAGGAGCTCAATTTTGCTTTAATTGTTAATTCGCCCGACAATTGCAAACTGCAGCGACCGTTGCAGTTGCAAACCGCAGATTTCCGGTTATCGCTTATTCTTAATGCCGGCTTCCTTTACAGATGAGAGCGCTTTTGGGGTAATGTCTTAGTTAAACCAAATTAAAAAGGGCAAAATTTTAAACCATAGTTTCGCAAATTGATGCTATTTGCATAATATCTACTTACTTATAATTACTATTGGCGTCGCTTCGCGCGAAGTTAAAAAGGAACCGCTCAACCTTTATTTATGTAAATGCGAAACACAACAGCGTTGAATTGAAATTATTTTCAGAAATTCCCGACATAACACTTGCAAAAATGGCGCTGTATCATATTTAGGGAAGAACAAGAAATGAGATAACTTAATTTTTTGTCCCTTTTGTGGCGACGCGACGTCCAAAACAGCTGTTGTCAAAAAAAGTGTCGCATTTAAATTTAGTTCTGATGGGATCATAGGGTATTTGTGTTTCGCGCTGGTAGCAAAGGGTTAATTAAGGGGACTGTATGCAAGGAAATCTTTCTTGTGTCTTTTCTAATGAGGAAATTGAAGAGAGCTATACGCAAACAATCTAGGTATTTATTAATTATGTACAAACGTTCCTTAGGGCAACAATCTTGGAACCATATTTCTTGGAAGCGAAATTACCGGGGTGTTTTTTGTTACGGAAATAGACTGAAGCTGTAGAGTGAGTACACGTCAGATATTCCTAGGAGGTTTCTAATTTTCCGGAATCGACTTGAATTTTCTTTCGCACAAGTACCTGAGTTCTGAGGGTATATGTGGCAGGGGAGAATTCTTCCCAAGGCGAATTTTCCAGAGGCGAATATACCTGAGGCAAATTTACCTGAGAGCCATCAGTTTTCTTGGGCACAAACTTCCGGAAATCAATTTATTGGGACGATTTTTGTTACAAAATAGTAACGTAGCGAAGGAATTCCTTGGAATCGACCTTTTTGAACATGATTTTCCGGTAGATCTTGTTTCTGGAAGAAAAATTTTGTTTGGCAGGGAGCTATGTTGAGGGGAAATATTCTGAGGTGAATCTACCGGGGAGAAATTGAAATAGAAGACAGACAGCTGCGGCCTTTAGCAATTACCTATTATGCTGCATTTAGATTTCCGAAATCTACCAAAATAAGTTCAGAAGAACTCTTACATTCCTGATATTGACCAACCCCATTTTTTCATAGTTCAGAAGAATTCAAAATTTTATTTAAGAACAAAAAAGGATCAATTTTTCCTTGCATTTGCGTAATAAGTTTAAGATAAAAAACATTGTTCCTTTTATGGAGATCTTATTACAGTTGACTGTTGAGTAAGTCGCTTTAATTGATTACGGCAAATCCAAGTTGATCAAAAATTGTATCTCGTTAACGAATTGCTTTGCGTTTAATTTATTAGTTAATTAGTGTACACAAATGTCCATTAGTCGAAATTGTGTCATGCATTTTTTATTCAGAAATTGTTCATTAAGATTTTAATTGACAGAATGAAATTACGTTTATTAAGCGATATAGGTGCTTTATCGTTGGAATCTATTGTGACAATCGATTGGTCGTAAATCTCTGACAATCTTAGTTAGGTAGTTAACTGCTATATTATATTCTTTATGTCTATCTGGAATCTAAATTTGAAATGTAACGAATAGCAAAAGGCATTTACTGAATGGTGGAATGCAGGTCACTCAATTCAGGGAATGGGCTCAGACATAGCATGAAATTGCTGGTTTTCCCTACTCGAACTATTTTCAAATGGGGAGTATAGAATCGAATTCATGGGATAGCCCTCTCACACCTTCAAGGCTCTATTCTTTTACTACGCCATGGCGTAATAAGGAACTTCTTTTAATAGAGGATTTTAACAAATTTATTTCTCTCTTGTGGTAGCGGATGTTAAAAATGATCAGATTTTATCCTTATTCATTATGTAAGTAATTAATCAATTTTGACATTTTTGTCATTGGTCGGTTTATCAAAAATATCTGGGGTTTTTACTACACGTAAAAATGTAGCATATAAATACTCTTAAATTAGTTTGTGTTAGACTGTTGAGTGTAACACAGCGTTTTAGATTAAAGCTTAATCACCCGTAGCAATTAAAGGTAAATTAACTAAAATTGTTGAATGAGACCTATTTTCTATAAATTTATGTTGAATTTTGTATTCGTATGGTAAATTTTCCATACAAATAACGGGTGAGTTAATAGAGTAAGGCAACAGGCGGATTTGTTATACTTTTTTAAAGATACTATTAAACGAAAACGAAAAGTTGGAAGAAACATAAATGAGTATACTTTTCGTGTAATGCGTCGTAGACTCCGATATGAATGCAAAAATTCGAATTAATGATTAAAATATAGATACCGTTGGTGAGGTCTTCAGTCTCGAATTTCTTCACGAAATTTTGGTATTATTAAAGTTTTTAAGAGTAGTAGCTTCTGAGAACCTTTAACAACTGCGTCATTAAGAGCCATCAATAATTTTTAACTCTTCAAAAAGGGCCCCAACAGCCTCCGCGAACTCCTTATCGCAAGACCGGAGATAAACTCAAACAAACACTACGTAATTAATTCCAGAATCCCTAATTTTTTTAACGTAATTGCACTGAACAATAAAACAATCAGAATATAAGGCGATTAATTAATTAAACATCTAATAATTCCTTTTACGAAACAAAAATGACTTCAAATTCAAATTATATGATCCAGATTGTGTTCAATCTGAATTAGCGACCACATTTAACCTTAAAATGTGGAGATTTACATTATACAGTGTGATACTGTAAGTGCTGATGCCAATAAAGACGTCTGCATGACGTAGTTTACATAACAAGATTTCTAACATTCTTCTTGAGATACCCAGGTGTCCTAAATACCTCATTCTCTCACTCTCACTCATCTGAATCCTTCTACAGCCTAAAGTCTTCCATTTTCTTCAAGCATTCAAATCTGTCAAAATGTTTTTGAGAACGATCCTTTAGAGAGTTAAACATTGTGTTTAAAACATCCCGGAATCTGGAGGGGTAATATTACGGAGGCGAATCTTCCGGGGTAGCATTTATCTGTGAGCGTGTTTTCTTCGGGGCTAATACTACGGGACCGCCTTTACCGGAAGGAATTTTCCCATAGTGCATTAATCAGACTGTCGATTGTGGGAAAATTCGCCCAGGAAAATGTTTTCCGGTAAAGGTGTTCCCGGAATATTAGCCCCTAATCGTATCGTATCGTATGGGTGGTACTCCCTAGGTACAGACGTTTTTCGGTCGCATCAACAGCCGCCTGTGTGACTTAACGACAGTCGTGATATGACTGCCGGGACCGCCAGCTTTACATGCCCCTAATAAAACACGCACACAGCGATAAACTCGACCCCGAAAGACTCCTCTCCGAAACCGTTCTTGAGTTTTCAAGCCATCGATTTTAGTAAAATCAATCCACGGAGTGTTTTCCCCCTTTCCAATTTCAATTTTCAGAAATGTTACGTACGAATAATGATCAGAAAAAACATGAATTTCTCCTAAGCAGATATTGCCAAAATCGCTGTTGATTCTGTGAATTGATGTGAAAAAGAGAGCACTGTTATACCCATTCAGCGATAATTTGGTCCTTGACATTTAAAACAAAAGCCAAATGAGCGTTTCACTACCTCATTTTCCAATTACATTATCTTCAGAAGTGTTTGCTCATTAAATTGTCACCGGAAAACCGTTGCCTAAAAGCAATAGGATTTTGACAATTTTCGTTCATTAACAATATTTTCCTCTTCCAATTATTTTGGGCAATAGCTTATACACAATTTAATTTTCACTCAAGGTGTCTCTAGAAAAGCTTTTAATAATAAATGTGGTGGTGCAAAGTCGAAAATGCGATGACGCACCATATAACTTTAATTATTTCATGGATAATGGAGTCACTCAACTTTCGCCTTTGGTAATAATAATTTAGTGCGTTTGTCTGGAAGAAACTCAATTGAGGGCTTGTAAATACGTATTTATCACAACCTTATAATGCAACTGCAGCGGTGAACCTTCGCAATTTTCAACTAAATCGTCTCTTTGTTTTCAGAGATCTCACAAGTAACAACATAACGAAGTTGACGGAAGACGATTTGCAGCAATTCACTCTACTTGAAGAATTGTAAGTATTCTTATTTCAGTAAGTGCCCTTTTGAAAAAGTGAAATGAAGTTTACGGTATGAGAATATGTGTGCGCGCGATATTGAGAACAATCACCCCGAGCAGGTCCATTTCGTTTGGGACATATAGCGCAGACACATTACTAAGAATGCACCGTTTATGAGCTCTGTTCCTGTCACTAAGAATCGATTCGATCGGTTTGATTTAAAATATAGCTCCTCTATCCTTTCGCTTTCAATACCTTCTATTTAAACTTGCTGTTTTCCAGAATTTTATGTGAACGACAGAAACTGCACATTCGTTTTAACTTACGACGTACCTTTTCGAATTATTATCGTCGAATCGAGGTTTTCCACTTGCGCTTTTTTTTTAGAAACCGTAAAGAAATCTGCATTCTTTATGGAGAGCATTTGCTTGTGACAGTTTTCGCGCCATTACTCTTTGATAAGGCATCACTTTCGATAGTATGAACATGACCCACTTAAGTGAAATTTAAGTGAACGCATTATTGTGGCATAAAAGGAAATTTGGTTGTTATAGTTATTTGAAAATTGCAAATCCGATGTAGAAAATGCCTTCATGATTACGGCTAATATTCTTCTATGGTTAAAATTTGAACTTTGTTAAATTACTTTCAGATGCTTCTAGGAATTGCGGCAGGCTTTTTGAATATAAGGCTCGCTTAAAATAAAATTTTGGCTTTCTAAGCGAACTCGAAATTTTTTTAGCAAAATAACTAACCAACGGCTAGCTCTATATGATATATTTTTTTTAGTATTAGATTCTAACACCGCCAATAAAAAAACGGCTCAAAAATCAAAAATTAATTTGTACAGGAAGACATTGAAAATGGAACAATACCTTTCGTAAAACACTGTTTCCTGAAGCCGATGGTTTATAAAGTTTTATAAATTGCTATGTTTTGTCTTCTCTCTTCTTTAGTATCGCCCTCATCAAGTTCTCACCTCTTCCTCCCTCTTTCAGCACCTCCGTCCGGCTTCTCTTTGTCCTTTCCACCTCCTTGGAATTCCATAACATGTGTTCTTTGTTCTTTTCGGACGAGTGTATATGCATTGCTTCAATGCATTAACACAAATAAATTACTATTACTATTACTAAATTTTCTTCCTCTCAGCATATTCTATATCTTCTTTCTTCTGATTGTCTCCATTTCTCTTTCTCTCTCTCTTCATTTTCATATCTGAATCTCGCCATTATTTTAATTTTTTTTATTCCCTTCCATAAGTATCCCTTATAAAACTACTACTTCCTTGTATGCTTTCTAGACCCCTTTTTATCAGCTTATTCCATCTTTTCTCCTACTCCGTCCGTCTCCATTTCTTTCATAATATGTTCCTCTTGGTTCTTCACACATTCCTTTTACGTTCATCCTCGTTCTCAAGGATTCTTTTACCAATTCGCTTTCATTTTCACTCCTTTCCTCGAACCTGCGCGCTCTACGTCCCGAAGATATCCTTACCTTCTCCGTACATGAGCATCCCTCTGACCATTGCACCGAAAAGGTACTTTTTTTCTTGTCTTGAAATTGAAACCCCTTTGTCCTATTCCCCACACCAATCTCTCGCCACCGTCCTTTCCTTAGTTTTCCAATTTGAGAATTTGCCCCATGATGTCTTTGCATTTGGTACCTTAAATATTTAATTTCTTTTACCTCCTCTATTCTCTCATTCTTCAAGCTTCATCTCATCTCCCTTTTCCTTCCATCCCCCTTCCTAAATCTCATCATCTTGTCTACATTTAATTCCATTCCTTTCCCAATACTTCTCCATTCTTCGCATTCATTTGTTCTACCTCTGTTGCCAAACTGCGTCGTTCGCGTTTTCATGGACGATATCTTTCTTCTTCCCACTATGATCCCTTCACCTTGGCCCTGTCTTATTACTTTTTCCATGTGTCGCGGGCACAATCGCGATACTGAAATAAATAAGCTGTCACTTCCTGTGCATCGATATGAACGCATACGACCTTTTACCTTTGCGCGGAATATTGCAAAAAGAACCTCAAAAGAAGGTCTAATTTTGGGTTCATACCCATCTTCCTTTCATTCTTCGGATAAACCCACTCCTTTCCATACCTTGTTTACTAGATTCCTCATCCTTGACCCTATATGTGGCGAAAATCGAAGCCTCATTTCCTATCTCGTCTCTCCCTATCGCTTTCCCTTTTTATAGTATTTTTAATTGCTGATCCTACCTCTTCAATAGTCTCATCTCTCTCTTGCTTTTCTTGTAGTAATGTTGTTTCCAATTCTCTAATTGTATTTCTTTCCCAGTTGTTGTATGTTTTTTTAGAAAATTAAATTTTCCGTCCGTCCGTGCAATAACTCTTTTTTTAAAATGGAAGATCGTGTTGAAATTTGGTATACGGGTACTTTGGACATTAAGGACGGACGCTACTGATTTTCAGGAAAGTGGCTCAACAGGAACAAAAATTATTAATTTTTGTCTTAACATTCAATAATACAAAACTAATGCTTTTTGCTTTTAACAACATCCATCACATCACCTAAAGCTGTAAAGGCTTCTTGAAATGGAATATTTTTTTTCAACAAGGTTAGTGGTCTTTTTTTTCCCTTATTAAAGAAAGAAGGATTAAATTAAATTAGAATGTAATATAAAAAGTCCATCGATTAAGTATACATCCGTATAAGGTGGCGGATTATGGCTAATTTTGGCTTCCAGATTAGCAAGAACTGACTTATCAGTCTTACAGATTCCACCGTAAAGAAAGAGAAACAGAAGTAATTGGATATGATAACGTTTTAACAATATCGATTTTGTGGTCCGTAGAAATCCCAAGCATACGTCCAAACAAATTTTGTTGCATTTTAATCTTTTCCGCCTAATTTAACTTTTTTTTTCTTTTTTCTATGAGGCTAGTAAAATATGGATAGGTGTTTTTTTAATACTTTTTTTTCCACCCGACTGCTATCAGCGGAACATTCATCTATAAATTTTTCTCTTTGACCATTGCCAATTTGTTCAACATTGAAAAGAAAATTTTCAACTTCTAGTGTAGCAGCTTTTCCAGGCGCAATATTAAACAATTTATTTGCAGACAAGTTCGTAATAAATGTACAGTACAACCTCGTTAATCCGAATAGATTCGGACCACCGACCTTTCGGATTATCAAATTTTCGGATTATCGCGAAACTAGTGAAAATAATAAATTTGGGCACAAGCATTAAGAAATAAAAATTATTCTTTTCAACGTCTTCAGGGGTGTCATCGTTGTTACGAGGAACGAAATTATTTCGGACTATCGCGATTTCGGACTAGCGTGTATTCGGATTATCGAGGTTGTACTGTATAACAAGTAATAACAAATTTTGCCAGTTGGTCGCAGTTTTTTTAACATTGGACAACTGTCATTCTGCAGAATGTCTTGGTTTTTTTCCGATCCCTAACTCCTCTAAAACATGAGTGATAATTGTAGAGGGAATGTCATGACTCCTTGCCCAACGTTGACGAGCAGATATTGAGTCTGTCAAATGAACTATTCCTGTCAGTTTTCTTGCAGCATCTGCATTTATCGTTTGCTCCAAGGCTAAATCAATTGGCTGTCTCGAAATGGTTTATTTTATACCAAAAAATCAGTTTGCAAAATCTTGCTCTAATCCTATCTAATGACGAAGATGATCCTGATGGGACTTACAGTAAATTGTATCGAACAATATATATTTTTTTAAAAGCAAAAAGCATTAGTTTTGTATTATTGAATGTTAAGAAAAAAATTAATAATTTTTGTTCCTGTTGAGCCACTTTCCTGAAAATCAGTAGCGTCCGTCCTTAATGTCCAAAGTACCTGTATATCAAATTTCAACACGATCTGCCACTTTAAAAAAAGAGTTATAGCACGGACAGACGACAATACAAAACTATAAAGGATCTGAGGCTAGATCTGAGGATGCTTAATAATAGTAGGTAATAGTAAATTCAAGAACATGCTGATTAAACTGACAGAATAGTAGGTAAGTACTTACTTACTGTACACATGTATACGTATGCTCGAGCGGTACTTTATCTGTCTGCCAGATTGTTATAACCGATGAAAATGTCTGCCATGATAAATGTAAGCTAGATATACTGTTATTATATTATATTATATTATATTTAAATTTCAGATTTACTGAAATATTTATGTGAAATATTTTTAAAATTAATTTTTTTTTTCAATTTTGAGAAGCGTCTGCCGGGACTTCACAACCGCCATAACTATCTGCCAACGTGATTTTCCAATAAAAGAAATGATATAATTTAAAATATGTCAATGGCAGCTTTACTGAAATACTTTCGAATATGGTGTAATTTTTATAGCTGTTTCACTCGAGCGCCTCTCAACCTACCTCGATCTGGCTAAGCTAGTCCCCCACTCATGAACACTAAGTATAAGCATTGAATAAAAACACTATTTTATTCAATGGTATAAGAGAGTCTTTGGACAAAATTGAGGGTTTACTGAAATATGTTGGGTCTGCTTTTCACTGGCTCTTAGACTATTATTATCAATCATAATAATCTAAATGATTGTCATAGATTTTGTAAAATGCCGTATTTTAATATGCAACAACCCCGAAACATTTGGAATCCATATTCGTTGTAAAGATTGTTAAGATATTTATCTTGTCCTCAAAAATGAACTTATTGCATTGTGAAAAGAAGCTCCTCCGGCATGTCTTCAATATACTTTTAACTGAAAGCTTCTAAAAGAATAAAATTTTTAGAATTGTGCGATCTTATAATGCGACATTTTTCACTAGTTACCTAATATTTTCATTTCCTAACCATAAGTTTGTAAGTCAAAAGGAAATGTCCGAATTGATGTGTGAAACTGAAATGTGGTTTTTGGTGCACAATTTATGCAGGTCAGATGTTATATAGACGAAGCAATAAATTGTTATTAATCACATAATGGCTAACAAGAAGCGGAGGTTTTTAAAGCTAATGCTCTTCAGTAAGAAATACAATTACAACTTGAAA